TTATGGTGGGGAGGCATGGTGAGGTGACTGGAGCCCTCACATCTTCAAGAAGGCACTTCAAACAGAGAAGAACTGGAAATTCTGCAAAGCTTAAGAACTCTCTAAGCTCATCCCTAGTGACGTGCTTCCTCCAGCACGGCCACAACTTCTAAGACCTCCCAAAACACCACCACCAACTGGGGACAAAATGTCCAAATAACTTGGAGCCTATGGGGGACATTCTCATTCAAAGCACCACATTCCACTTCCTGGCTCCCATAGGCTCATGATCATATAAAATGCAAAATGCATTTAGTTCACCTTCAAAAAGTCCCCATAGTCTTTCAAAGTCTCAACATTATTCAAATGTCCAAAGTCTCTCCTAAGACTCAAAGCAATCTCTTAACTATAAGCCTGTAGTCCATTTAGTGGTACTCATGTGTACCTGTGTTCAGCAATGCCCACTTGGGATTAGATAACCTCTCAGGGAGATAGTTCTTGTAGAAAACTGATTCCCCCTCACTAAGCACTCATTGATTATCTGTCCCATCTTGAGATGGGATCCTGTGAAATTTTCCCCATCCATATTGGCATGTCAAGTGGTTTTTGTCATAATACAGATCTTCTTTTGTTACCGTCTTGTGAAGATTTCATGGGTGAAGTTTCCAAATTATATCTAGAACACTTTATCTAGTAGCAGGCATCTTGTTCCTCTGGCTGTTACAATCTTTCCACCCCTCCTCAATTTTCCCTGAGGAGGTTACATTGTAGATGTATCAGTTAGGATTTGGCACCCCACAGTCACTAATTCTCAGTATTTTGACTCCTTGCAGAACTTTGTAAAAGTCTCCATCTGTTGCAAAAAGAGCCTTCTTTGATGAGTGGTGAGAGCTATATTTGTCTGTGAATATAAGGATGGGTATTTAGAATATTGTAAAAAATTACATTTGTCTAGGAAAGTGTCAGTAGTAGACTCTTCTCTAGGGTTGACAACCTCTCCAACCATGTGTATTTGGCTATGTCTACAGTGTCAGGCACCAATTGCCTCCTGTTTTGATTGTCTTAATGATTGACTGTCTTTATTGTGAAATAGAACTAGTTATACATGTTAAAACACAGCCTCCACAGCAAAGAATAACCAAATCATAAATATCAGTAGTACCAAGGTTTAGGAACCTAGGTTCAGTTCCCATAGTAGCCTAGGTACCAATTAAAAGAGATACACAGTATTAGAAGCATTCCAGATTATTAAAAATGACTTGAAGCCCTTTTACTACTGATAAATTTTACAACTTGCTTTTGGAAAGTTAGAATTAAATTAGAAATAAGCATATAGGTATAGGAAAATTGGAAGAAAGTAGAGTTTCTGATTCTGATGAATTAGGGAAAACACATTTTCATTTGTATTTAGAGGTAACCAGTTTAACAACTGAAGTTCTCTTAATCAGCAAGTTTTTAAAATGGAATGCAACAGGATTTACTTTTATATCAAAGGATCTCCCTCGGTAGTTTGAGAATGCAGCTGAATACAATTACAGGATCATGGATAAGCAGAATCTAGGTCCTTTGCTGCATTCGGGAAGAGTACACTTAATAATCTAGAATCTAGCAGCAACACTTTAATGAGGCATTTAAACCTACTGGCCCTGAATCTCAGAATTTATCAATACTTGTTACCTAGATTTTCATTTCAAAGTAATGAAGTGATGAGTAAGAATCAAAGGAACTTTTGTGATTAGGAAAAAATTGTTCTACAAATAATTCAACAAGTACTTAAAACTGAAAAGAGATAAACCATTGATTAATCAGTAACATGTAGCCACATATAGTAGTGATAAATGTGGAGGGAAAAGTGGAGTTACAGGCAGTACCCAAGGGATTTATCCAAACTCACAACTCATTAACTAGTGAGGGGCATATCCACTGCAAAGAACAACGCCCCCAAGAGACCAGTCCATTCACCCAATAAAGCATTTCAATGATATCTGATGGATAAAAGTCAGAAATAATACAAAGGCAACACTCATGTATGAAATTCTCAAAAATTTTTAAATTTAAAAAAAAATTAGGAGGTATTAGTGCAGTCTCTAGGAAAATGCCCAAATCACTCTGTGACTTTTTCTTTTTATCATAGTACTTTACGTTAGCATACAAAATAATGGATTTCTTTTGGTATTTTCTACATATGACATATTATACTTGTTCTAGTTTGTCCCTTTCCCCTATGGCCTAGCCCTTGTGCTACCAACCCCCTTCTAACTGATTCCCTTCCTTCCCTCAATAGTCCCAGCTTCTGCATTAATGTCAAATTAAATCCATTACCCTCTACTCCACATTAAGATCTCCTAACATCTCTCATGACCCCCTTTCTACTTTCATGGCAATCCCCCCTACACACACACACACACACACACACACACACACACACACACACACAGAAACAGATTTGTCTTTCTGCCTTTTGGCTTATTTTACTTCATACAGATTTCCAGTTTCCTCCATTTTCATTCAGATTCATTATTTCATTTTTTATGGTTGATATAAAATTCCATTGTGTCTATGCCACATTTTCTTTATCCATTTATCAGCTGATAGGCATCTAGGTGGGCTCTATTTCTTTACTTTTACGAGTAGTACAGCAATAAACATGCATGGGCAAGTATCTCTGTGGTATGCTGACTAACTAGAATACTTCAAGCATCTTCCCAAGTCATCATATGATTTTTATTAATTAGATCAAAATCTTTGCTAAAGTCAAAAGCAGAATACCCAGTAGTCTAAAATTTGGCCTCCCCCAGACAAATATCCTGTTGACTACTCTATAAGAGAATAATTCTTGCTGTCACTCCTTTATTTCCAGTCACAGAAAATAATTCAAAAAGAAAAGCATGCTGATTTGATGAGCTTTCTAACTTTTTAAAAAACAAGGCTAATTCCGTCCATCTAGCATCCTTGGTATTAATTCTCTTTCTAGCTTGTGCACTGCTTCAGACACTACACTCAGGGTATTAATGAGGAAGCTAGAAGTGGACATGCTCTCATCCAGGATCCAAAAACAAAGGCCTGTGAAGACCATGTGGCACACTCCTCCCCAGCACTTTCTCCCCAAGTGTGCTCACTGCTGTATCTCTCTCTCCCAGGATGATTAGTGTTTGACCCCATAACCAGTGCCCTTTGGAAGACAGCAAGATTCTTCCAGAGCATGCTTTTTCTCTCAAATCCAAATGTAATGCTTTCAGCATGACTTTTAAGTGGACCTGTCTTTGTCTCCAAGTAGTATTAGTTCTGTGTTCATTAAATACCTACTAGAGAACACTGTGACTTCATTTTCATTAAAACACTGAATATTCCACCCATATCCTACAGAAGGTCACTGTCTAGAAATGAGAGACATCTTCATTAAGCTCTACCTTTCTTCCTCCAGCTTTAGCTTGCTGGTTGAAGACTACAACATTTCCTACCATCCCCTTCTTCACACTAAATATGGTCCTGAGGGTCAGTATTCGCCTAGATCAATGGCTGGCTGAAATGTCACCATGGAAATTCTTCACCATTTTTCTGAGAATGCACCTCTTACTTGCACATCCATGCTACACTGTTCACTATAAGCAGATAAGGAACAAGACTAGATGTTCATCAGCAGATGAATGGATCAAAAATGTGATACAGATATACAATATAATTTTATTCAGCAATAAAGAATGAAATAATGTCATTTGCAGGAAAGTAGGTGGAACTAGAAATTATCAAGTTAAGATTTTTAAAGGCTATTCAAGAAGGACAAGCATTGCATATTATTATCATATGCAAAATCTACATTAAATTTATATTTATATGTATATAATATATATACATAGAACAATAAAGTATGGAAGTAGAAAGAGGGTGGTGAAGGGGAAGAAAGAGGTGTACAGAGAAGGGAGAATGGGGGTGGGGAAGGAAAAACAAAATATCTTGTTTCTTGTGTGGGGGGGTGCAAGTGTGTGCAAGTGTGTGCAAGTGTGTGTAGGTGTGAAGTGAAATAAGAAAACAAAAGGGGGAGCATTTGAAAGGCAATTTATGAATGGAAACAGCCAGGGGAATGAAGACTGATGATGGAGGGGCTTGGGGACGTGAAGAACAGGTGCAATAATACACACAGTGAAAAATCTCAATTAAATTCACTGTTTTATAGTTAAAAAAAAGAATTCTACATGTTTGGGTTGCTTTTGCTAAAAAAACATAACTTATCAGTAAATGATATTCATTCATTTCTTTCTATCAGAGCTCATAATTTGAGTAAATATTATACTACTGATATGGAAGTGTGCAAAACCACTTATTCTTGAGAGATAGATCCAAGTGACTTTGCTATATTTATTTATAGGCACAAATTTCAGTGAACAAGGACTTTGGTGACCGTGGGGAATATACTGTGGTATGTTTTCGAAAGCATGGTGTGACAGGCACAATCCCACGCTCAGCACGATCTGATGATGCTCCTTGCTGGCTGATGTCCTTCTCATTTCCTTTTGAATTATGTTCAGAATGCCCTGAACTCTGTTACAGGTGAAATAAGAGTTTCAAATACTTTTAAGGAACTCATTCAACATATCATGGAATCTTCTTGATATTTTTTCTCAAAGTGTCTTTCTACTGATCAAAAAGAATTCAAATTTGAAAGCCTAGGTCCTAAGTTCAGGAAAAGTAATTGTCTGGCATAAATGCAAGTGTTAAAACCATTAATAAATGGCCATAATTTTTTCCTATCATTGCACCTAAAATATTTTGGTTTAGATTTACCTAGAAATTAACAAATCTTACACATAAAAATTAGAGAACAGTAAAGCATTCTACTTAATTACAAGGCATACGGATATCACGCACTTCGAACACCCACAGTGGAGTCAAGATCCGGTCTGCTGAACTGTTTTGGAGGACTGAATCTGACCGTAACTGCTGATCTTTGAAAAGCCCCTCCTGAGGGTGGCCGGAATCTCTTGCCCTAGCTTGATGTCTGAAACTTCTCTGTTTTGTTTCAGCTGGCGGGGTTCATCTACGCCTGTTATGTTGTGAAATGTATAACTGAAGAAGAGGACAGCTGTAAGTACAAAGCTCTGTTCTGTTTCTTTCAAGTTCAAAGCTTCTTTACCGCTTCCTCCCTGGCCTTTCTACCCCTTAGACAATAACCCTCAACACAGCAGTGGAACAGAAAATGAGCTTCTGGTGCCCATCAGGCTAAAGTATTTGTCACAAAAGAATCAGCATATTAAAGGGACAGAAGCAGTCCTTTTCAAAACACATATTTTTCTTTTCATTTGGAAATATTTTAAAAATCTGTTCTTATGACAATTTAGTAGGGAATGCAGATGGGAGATTGGATATAAACATGAGCTCTAAATGCAGTTGACTTGATGGTTTTCTTTTTTTACAATTCATTTATTGTGTGTTGATAATTAATCAGTTTCATTAAGGACTACAAATCTCAGCAATCAATAATTTGCAATAGTTCTTAAAACTGCCAATACTTGACTTCGGTTAAGTTGGGAAATTTGTCTCTTGGAAGTTGAACATACGTGTGTCTTTTTGTTCCTATAATTTGCTGCAAATGGCTAGAACTCTATATCTCAGCCCTCAGTCTGACTCTTTGATCCACAGTTTAGACAGTGGTCCCTTCATGAAAGTCTCAAAGTCACTTCGTCAGCCTCTCCTCTCTTCTTAACATGATGTCGAATCTTTCTTGACTTCCTTGTGTCTAAAGATCTGAAAAGACAAGTATATATATATATATATATAGAGAGAGAGAGAGAGAGAGAGAGAGAGAGAGAGAGAGAGAGAGAATATCCTATTCTCTTTAGGAAATTTTTCAAGGAAAATAATTTTTTAAAACAGCCCTGAAATATTCGTAATGACAAGATTGTTGAGCGAATGAGGTGAAAGCAAAGATGAGCCCCCTTCTCCCCTACTTAGGGAAAAAGCTAAAATGAAATGCGTGTTTCCTCTTCAAGTACTAAATAAATAACTTGCAAGAGGCAATTTGCAATCATTCTCTAATATCAATTAAATATAGTACAAAATTATGTTATTTTATGTGCAAAAGTAAATGATAGTCTTTTTATGATGTGAGTCTTTACAGAACATTCCTTGTTTATTAAGTGCTATGTCAGACTTAGATTTTAAGATGAGTAAACCGCTTCCCTCTAGAACTTGCTGTCTAGTACGAGACTCAAACAAATGAACAAGTATAATAAAACTCTCTCTAGTGGTATAAGAGAGGAAAGACATCAGAAACATTTTCATAGTGAAGGCTACTCTTGAATGTGCTCTTGAAAGATCAGTAGATACAGTTGGGCATGGTAGCACATGCCTTTAATCCCAGCATTCAGGAAGCAGAGGCAGGCAGATCTCTGTAAGTTCAAGGCCAACCCATCCTACATAGTGAGTTCCAGGCCAGCTGGGGCTACCAGGAGGCCCTTTCTCAAAAAAAAAAAAAAAAAAAAAAAAAAAAAAAAAAGGCCAAAAGATCAGTAGATACATGTTGGGAGCTGATGTATGGGTAAATGAGGTGTAAGCACCTAAGCATAGAGGTTAATATGAATGGACTGTATTTTGTGCTGTAAGGGCACATAAAGAGAAAATCAGAAATGCACGCATGAATGGGATAATAGAAAACGGTATGGAAGACAAAGAGGTTAGTCTTTATTTTGTATGGTACAATGGGAAATCAGTTGGTAAGTAGTTTATAAAAACAGAGTCATGTAATCAGTAATGGACTTAAGGAAGTTACATTGGCATTAGTATGGAGGATAGAGACTGGAAGGAGGAAATTAGGAAAAGGAAAACTATTCAAGATACCATTAAATTGGTCAAGATTGAGATGAAAAGGATTTGGACAAATACCAGTATTACAGATGAAGAAGAATGATTGACTGTTTGATATGATGATATGATAGGCCATGATAGGGTCGGTTATGACATGATATAGTGATTGAGCAGTGGGGTGTGGTTGGGGACTCTGGCAAGGAAAAGGAGGAGACATAGATTCCTAGATGTCTGAATGGTAGGTAAGAACGCCCCCAAGAAAGCTAGAATAAGGACACAATAATTCACTGAGTGTGGACAGGTTGAGTTTGAGGTGCAAGAGAAGATATCTGCACTCATCCTATGCACAAAAGTCTTATTCAAAGATTATAGATGATAAAGATATGTGGATTTTAAAATGTATGAACCTGCCGGGCATGGTGGCACACGCCTTTAATCCCAGCACTTGGGAGGCAGAGGCAGGCAGATCTCTGTGAGTTCAAGACCAGCCTGGTCTACATAGTGAGTTCCAGGACAGCTGGGGCTACAGGGAGACCCTGTCTCAAAAAGACCAAAAAAAATAAAATAAAATAAAATGTATGAACCCAACAGATCATGTGAGCACATTCAGATCTTGCCGTTCAGTGTCTATTTATTAAACCTTAAAGAAGAAGAATCCACAGGTCAGTCTTGTGATGTACACTGGAATTTCCTTGCACTGTGGTATTTGAAAGCATTTCACAAGATTCCAGCCCATTCTACCTTTAGACAACACTTACTGACCTAGGGGTCTCCCACACAGATAATCAGCATCTCTCCAGAATAGCATTTTGCAAAGGAGATGTAAGAAATGCTCATTTCACAAGATTTTCAAAGCCAAGTAAACTTGACAATGAAAATTTAGAATACTTTTTTAGACAATGACAACTCTGAGAGTGGAATAATAAAGAAGTATGTTCAATTTTTCCCAATTCGGTTTCGTGTTAGCAGTACCTAGGTAAGATATAATATAGACAGGTACATATCAAAGAGAAGCAGAGTTTCTTTATACTCAGTTTCTTGGGGAGAGCACAGCATGCCCTGAAGGGTTTCATAAGGGAGGTACCAAAAGCAATCTTGAGGCAGAAATTAAGGATGAAAACTTCACTGTGGTTCCCACAAGAAAGAACTGTTGAGGCATGGTAGGCAGACGTAGGACTCACTAGTTGCTCTTAAAAATGATGCCCCTGGACCAGCAAGGTGGCTCAGCAGGTAAAGGCACTTGCCACTAAGCCTGAAATTTTGAGTTCAAGCCTCTTAACACACGTGATAGAAGGAGAGAACTGACTCCCACAAGTAATCCTCTGACTGCCATACACATGATGTGGCATGCTTGTGCAGAGAAAGAGAGAGAGAGAGAGAGAGAGAGAGAGAGAGAGAGAGAGAAAGAGAGAGAGAATAAATAAATGTAATTTTGTTTTTTTAAAAAAAGGTACTCTTGGGTGGGGCGTGGTGGTGCACGCCTTTAATCCCAGCACTCAGGAGGCAGAGGCAGGCGGATCTCTGTGAGTTCAAGGCCAGCCTGGTCTACATAGTGAGTTCCAGGCCAGCTGGGGCTATAGGGAGACCCTGTCTCAAAAAGACCAAAAGAAAACTTATTCTAGAAAATACAAATTCTAGGAGTGTGTCTTAGAGAATTCTGCCTTAAATCAAATTTTTACCAATGTCATGTAAATCCAAGAAAATCAGAAGTCACCAATATCTTTTAGAAGATGAATTCTATGGAATAACACCTGATAATTTCTTAATTTTTTAAGATTCCTTAAAAGTAATGAGTGTGTCTTCTTATCTATTTTGTTGGCGGTCACCTCTTACCTGCTTTTATTAATCTGAAACATACCAGATGTCTCATGAACGAGTTTTCTAATGGTAGTCTGACTGCTTAGTGAAAGATTTCTTTATTTTTATTTCCAAGTTCTCTGGCACTGGAATTAAATGTTCATGGACCCAGTGGACAGCCTAAAGAGGTTCATCGGGAATGGCTCTGTATCCAGTGAACTTTGGTGACCTCTGATTAGGTTAATTTGTAGTCATCCACAGAAACAAGAGTGTTTGCTGAATAAAACACTATGGTTGATATTTTCCACAGATTTTTATTGTCTTGGCCTATTACCTGTGTGCTTATCTAAAGACACTGCCTAGAAATCTTGCTTAAAATAGTCTTACATAAAGATGAGTCAAAAACATTGTCAACTTTTGGTGATTTCAAAGATTATCTTGATCCTTAAAATTTCTGTAAAAATAAAAAAGATCTCTCCAAAAGCAAACTTTGAAGAATGGAGTTTAATGTATGCACAAACACTGGGGAAGTTGCCTGTGTCTGGTCATCCTTCTATGACTCTGTAATGAAGCATTTTGATAGAAATACAGTGGTAAGAGTAGGTTCTAGGTACCGGCTTATCAAATTAGTTATGTTTCCACTCCTAAGAGGACAGTTTGTTCTGTGTAATTTATGGTGGATAATGGACTATGGAGATAAGGACCAGATGATGACGACTGGATGAATGACGTGAACTTGAAGCTAGCCTGAAGCTGAACAGCTTTGTGCCCAGTGCTGTTCCTCAGGCCTCACAGACCTGAGTACACCCTTGCCCCGGACCCTCAAGTGCTAGGATTTCAGACAGGCTACCATGCCCCACTTATGCAGTACTGAGAATTGAACTTGGGGTCTCATGCAAGCCAGGCAAGCACTCTACCTATTGAGCTACATGTCTAGCCTTACAACAGGCACTTTAATGCAGCATTTCTTTCAAGCAAAGAAGCTTGAACCTTGAAGTCTCCATGCTTGACCCCATAATCTAAACCAGTCGCAGCCTGGCAAACTGGCTGACTGCACAAACGCACGGAACACCACTGCCACCTGCTGTGCCTACTAAAATACAACAGCCAACTTCTCTGCAGAGCTCATGTAGAGAGATGGAGACACTCTTCCCTTGTAGGAATCAGTAGGGCTGCCCTGATAACACAGACTTGGTAGCTTAAACCACAGAAATGCACTTTCATCCAGTTCTTCAGGCTGAACATCCAAGAGCAAGATGTTAGCAGGGTGGTGTGTCCTGAGGCCTCTCCTAGGCTTATAGATGGACCTTTTAAAAGTCCTTCCATGTTGTTTCTCTGTGTCCCTTTCTTGTTGTTTTAATAATCCCGATATAGTTGAAGACTTGTCCTGATGATCTCATTTAACTTTACTCAGCTCTTTAAAAGTCCTGTCCCAAAATATTATCACACTGAGTTTTAAGCCTTCAATTTATGAATTGAGGGGA